TTGAAATTTTGCTGCTCGAATCCGATGTTCGTGGCTATCTTTACAAGTCGCAGTATAGTGGAGAGCAGCTGAGGCTGATGAAGGAACAGGAGGCGGCTGCCTGTCGTGGACGAGCAGCCTGGACTGGCTCTAGCTGAGGCGGACTGCTGGTGCCTGTGCTCTCGCTGCGTGCTACGGACACAGATAGAGTCCGTCTGCTGCAGTGAATTTCAACTATGGCAATTTCTCCTGGGCGCAATCTCTGAATCAGACGAGCACACGGACGTTTGTGTTGTGATGTGAACCATCCTAGTTTCGCCTGACTGAACATCCAAGTATCAAGCTTAATTCACCATATAGAAAGAAATACAAATGAGGAGTAATTCACTAATGAGTTTGCCAATTGTAATGTTAACGGGGTTCGTTGTTGTGGGAAGAAGGAGGTGGGAACCGGCTAACATTTAAACATTTTAATAGTAAAATGAACAAATACAAAACGGAAGTATAAGTCAGCAGCCCCTCATTGATGACTGATGTCCACACACAACATAAAATCAGGCCTGTTTCTCTCTCGATCTGCCGTCGTCACTCCTCCTTTATGCTTCCGCTTCTCCATGAGAGATGCAAGACCGGTGTGTGAGTGTCTCGCAGGTGTCTTTCATTATCACTCACGCCACTGGCCTCGCGCCGTCCTCTCACATCCCTCGTCCTCGTCCTGCTCGCCTCAGCCAACTAAGTTTTGTGTGAAATGAATTTCAAACTCTGGTGACAGCTGACGTTAACCTTGTAGACGGAAGAGTGATTTCTCTATTTGCACTGTTCTGGATTAGTGGGCATGGCTTGCGGAGCTGTGCAATGTGGTGCATTGTGGGAGTTGTTGTCTTACAAATGCGCCCTTCAGTTATAACTTATTTTGTCTTTTCTCAGTCAAGAGGGCACCAAATTCAAAAATTCTTTTACATTTCGACTACATATATGATCCACTTTCAATAAAGATTAATTTTGAAATGGGTGTAATGCTCCTTTAAGATCTTTGGAATCTTTTTACATTTTTGTGGAAAACCCTGTTGGACTGTTTTTTTCTATTTTTTTTTTTTTTTTTTTTTTTTTTTGCTCCAGCTGTGGATTTTTGTTGCTTGTTTGAATTAAAAAAAATTCTACATCACAATTTCTTAGAGTGCGTCTTACTGTTGGGTTTACCATTCTCCAGTGGCTCAAGGGTTGAATTTCTGACGCCAGAGTCCTCAGTTCTAGTCCTGGCTCTTACAGCAGAGGCCACTCATCTGCTGGGAATTTTCAGGGATGCTCTAGATACTGGGAATTTTCCACATGTTAAGGCAAACCAATAACAGAAACCTCTGAAAACAACAGTATCTTTTATTAACACTCAGCAATGGTAGATACACACACACTTTTCGATCAATATTTGGATCACATGAAGAATAATGAAGACCACTGTTTTACAAAACACAAATTAGCATGCTGGATAATAAGGTAATGAAATAAATCATATTTCTGTAATAATATGTAAGACATTCTTGTTAATGGAATAATAGGGTTTCTTTTTCCGCAGGAGCAAATGTTAAAACACAGGCATTTCTCAAGGCACTGAGATTGACAGGCACATATTCGGACTGCAGTTGTTCTCCTAGCCATTGAACTAATCAAATGACATATTGGATTTGGATATTGGACACAATGGATTTTAGGGTCACAGAAACAGAATCTAAAGGAAGGATTGGGTCTTATGCTGAGTTAGCATGATCTGCTAATCTATACATTTACTTTAGTGGTAACTGCAAATGAGATTCACCTGCTACAGAGGTTATGTGAAGTTAAATATAGAGCTGGTTTACTCTGCTGGGGTACCAAATCAGGCCACTAGCAGAAATGGGGTTGGAAGGAAGTGGACACATGTGCACAAGACTAAAAGGGGAAAACTATCATCATGTGGATAAGATTTTTATGATTTTATTACATTATACAGTAGCAAGAATATCATTTATATGTATATGTCCTGAATCATTTATGAGGATTATAAGTATTCTGTCAGGGTATTGCTAAATTGTATTAACAAAGTTAATTTAGCATAAAGAAATGTAATGACTAATTTTGTCGGTTGCATGTGTGTAACCATAGAAAATTAGCATTATTGAAATTGAATCGATATTTATTGCATCCTGTCAGTTTCACTTTGAAAAGAGACATGATGACAATGACTAATTGCTGTACACTATAGTGTATAATTTAGTACCATTGTGATATCAAGTTTTTTTTTTTCATATTTAAAATTTGTTTTTGTTTTTAGTTTTAGCCCAAAAATTGTTAAATGTATGCCGTATAAATTGAGAATACAGGACTCTGCAAACTAAGGACATAATCCACAACGGGTTTAGCTCTGAGACTAAGAACAAAGCTTTGTGTTCTTAAAATATGAGTGTTTGCAAGATAGAAACCAACATGAATGCTGCTGGGGGTTTTCTTACTTATCTTTGCCATTTAGCAGATGCTTTTAATCCAAAGCTTACAGTTCACTAATTGCAGCCGCAGTCCCCTCCCTGGAATAACATGAAGGAAAGTGTTTGGCTCAAGGGCACAAGGAGCCAGATCCCTTTTGCCTTCAAATCACCAGCTTCCGTCTTAGTGTTCCATTTCGTTGTCCCATACCTCCCCAAATACAGTCTAATTGTGTCATAATTTCAAGGGGAAATGATTTAAACCCGTGCTTACACAACAGTCTGGCAGCTCAGCAATAATTTCATTCTGTTTCTGTATTGTGTATTCGAGATAATGTAATATAGAGAAAATTCAGGGTTTAAATGCAATTGAATTTTTGTCTCTTTTAACTAGTAAACTATTAACTGTAATCTATAGTTAAAGCTGCCGATAGTGAAAATGGAAGGGCTGTAGCACAAATGGTTGTGTAATTTTTTACCACAGTGCTCTGCAAGCCCAGATAGAGCAGCTGCCATACCATACTGTGTTATAGCTGCTGATCACGTGCATAAATCTGGTCATTGTTAAACCTTTTCAGCACTCCAGTGTTCTTGCTAGTCGCTCAGCAGTATCATGCTGCCCAACAACACTGTCAGTTTAGAAGGTGACTGTGTGAATACAGCTGTTTTGGGAAACGCCTCAGTCAAAGGCATACAAAGTAAGTAAATGGTCTTAAATGGCACATTGGAGGTTTTGGAATAATCCTGATCCAGAAAGGGGGATGGAAAAGGTGTTCCGTGTGGAGAAGAGGACATATGGGCTGTAACTGTTTTCACACTGAGTCCTCACCTTGCTGTGATACCTGGCTGACCTTTCAGAGCACACGGGCGATGGGTGTGGGTGGATTAGCCTGGATTGTTGTTTGCCTTATTTGTGTATAATGTACTGTATTATTCTTACTCTAAACATAACATTCAAATTATGAAACCTTGTTTACAGTAATGTCAAGGTAAAATCTGTCACTTAAGCGGTACCCTGTCAAAAGGTACACTTTAGGAACTAATATACACCTATAGAGCTAAATAAAGTACCAAGGTGAACCTTTGCTCCAGTGACAGCTTTTTCTGACAGCGATAGGCTACAATTTAATTCATTAAAATTACACGTTGTCACTAATTTAAGGTTTCATATAAGATGTATTTCAAGCAAGATGTGTGCTATGTTTAGGAAATCAACCAAATAGCTACAATAGATTTAGCCTACTGATAAAAATGCATTTGTCTTCCAAAGAGAAGGCAGCTTGTTGAGATACATTTTTATAAATTAAACAGTGATAAATGCGTTCATTAAAGCTGGCTCTTCAACAGCATTGCAGTTCGTGTGAATGGGTCCATCATAGTTGTATTCACTACTTCCCCACCCTTGCCTAATCAGACTGTCTGTTTGATTTTATCAGGAGGACAGTGCTCTCTGTTGTTTGTAAAATGAACTGCAGTTTGTTCCAGGAAAAAGCACTGAATGAGCCAATGGTGTTAGAGGAACAAGGAAGTGGAATGAAAAATACTGCATTGCAATAATTCCTGAATTTGCAGTACTACCATACCATCTGTATTTTCATTCTATCTTGTTTGTAATTAATCTCACAATAATAAGATGGTAGACATCTATACTGGAAACAGATTCACCATATAGTTGCAATTTTTTTTTTTTTTGGATAAAGATAACAGGTTATGTAATTATTCATGTTTAGGTGTAATTCTGTGATCTAAACTAGGTTTGAGGGAATATAAGAATATTATACTATGGCTGTGAAAGCTGCTACACACCACTTCTGGGTATAAATCAATCAGTCAGTAAATACGTAAGTAAATAAATACACCACTTTTGTACCCTACTGCCTTTGCTAAACATGCCACATTATATTACATTCCAGTCAGAGTTTATAGCCTAACTGCAAAACTACATTTAGTAGTGGTTTTTTTTTTGGTACATAGAACATAGCACATTCTTCCTGAAATGTCACTGAAGCCTTAAAGATAGTGAGTGTTAGAGAAAGGAATTAAGCCCGTGGTTAAGATAGACTTCCTATATGGCTGAAGGGTGGTTTTGAATGTCAGCCTGAAATAAGTAAAACATTGCATGACTGATCCGGGATCATCATTCTGGCCAACAAGTGATGTCTGAACCATAAGGGCCCCAAAACAATTCTGTATCTGTAAAAAACAAAAATACTATATTGGTTGAAATAACTTAAATCAAAGGGGTCATGGAAAATGTTAACGATTTGTAATAATAATATAAAAAGTTGTTGTTATTATTATTATATAACCAGCAGTGGATAGACCCATCAAACTCTCCTCAAAACCCGATGACCTCCATGGAAAAAAAAAAAAAGAAGAAAAACAAAGGTATTGCAGTCAAACTTCATCGGAGACACAGTTCTTCAAATACTTAATATTAATCCCTCTAATTACATAAGAAATAAAATAATCGTAATTGAAATTGTACTGTAAAAATTGGTAATTTTGTGTTTACAGTTTTATTGAGGTGCATTCTGGGAGAGAATGATTGACATCGCGGCCATTTTGGCTCTGGCCAACCCGCTCCCATTGTGTGTGAGATAGTAAATACTGACACTGCCAGACAAGCCGAGCACATATTTCACTGCGCGAATTAAAACACGTTCACCTGAGGTAAGTGCCCCAATTCATCACTGTCTTCTCTCTGATATACTTTTCAACAGCTTTGTGAAACTTTCATGTAGAATAATGTTTATTTTGAGCGTTAAAACGTTAAAATCGCATCGTCTGAAAACGAGAAAGCCGATGGCGAGACGCGAGAGAAAACAGGCTCTCCTTTTCGTGTCGGAGGACACACTGAAATCCGTCCCACTTTCGCATGTCTCTGTTTACTTCGGTTAAACGGTGTAAATTCGCGGTAGATATTCCTTCTAAGCGACTATTTAGTTGCCCAAGGGTGCCTGCTAGCGTATTGTGTTGTTGGTTTTGCGGTGCATGCATTGGATTTTGAATTTTATTTCAAAGTTCACGTCCTCCCCTGTGCCTCAAAGCACGGACTCTCTCCAGTTGCCGTTCAAATTGCAGCCATAATCTTGCGGTTTAGGGCGGAGCTTAGACGGACTGGTTTGCCCCCACAACTGGCAGAACGGCCTGTGATTGGTTAGTTTTTTGGGCTCCTCAAATGCTACTAGCTTTCTGCCTTACTGTTGTTCTACGGTCGTCTGTGATTGGTTGAAAGGCCACATTAGTCCTTGCTGAGTGGTTGCTTTTATTTATTGGGTTTAATGTGACGTGCTGGAGGAAGTGGCCTAAAATAGCATATGAGACAGGGAGTCAAATACCAAAACAAGTGTAAAACTTGAGAGCTATTTTTAGTAGAGATTTACTCACTTTTATAGCTTAGTCTGTGCATGAGAATGCATACTTATTATTAAACAGCTAAGAGAAAGCACTGCTAAATTATTAAACTTTTTTTTACATTCCTGGCTTGTATTTCATAAATCTGCCCATGATTTTCCGACTTAACTGTAACTGTTTCCTTTTTCTCAGGTGATATTGACTAGCAATGGCCCGTACTAAGCAAACAGCTCGTAAGTCCACCGGAGGCAAAGCTCCCCGTAAGCAGCTGGCTACCAAAGCTGCCCGCAAGAGCGCTCCCTCAACTGGAGGAGTCAAGAAACCTCATCGCTACAGGTGATATTCCAGACTTGTAATTGTGAACAGCAATAAAAAAAAAAAAAGTTTCACTATAATAAACCCTACATTAAACCCCTCTACTGTCTGCAGGCCTGGTACTGTGGCTTTGCGTGAGATCCGTCGGTACCAGAAGTCTACTGAGCTGCTGATCCGTAAGCTGCCGTTCCAGCGTCTGGTTCGCGAAATTGCCCAGGACTTCAAAACCGACCTGCGTTTCCAGAGTGCCGCCATTGGTGCACTGCAGGTGCGCATATGTCTTGCTTTTTCTTGTAATTTATTCATTATACATTAAACATTTTTGCACACGTTCCCATTTGAAGATTATTTTTATTATTATTTGTTTATCCCTAATTAACATTCTGATTTTGTGTGCATCCTTGCAGGAGGCCAGTGAGGCATACCTGGTCGGTCTGTTTGAAGACACTAACCTGTGTGCCATCCATGCCAAGCGTGTCACCATCATGCCCAAAGACATCCAGCTGGCACGCCGCATCCGCGGAGAGCGCGCTTAAACTCTCCCCTTCTTTGTATCGCCCTCTTTATTTCTTTCTGTCTCTCCACTTGTTCTCCTCCTCTTTCTTGTTAGAGTTTAGAGTATCAGTGATGGGGAGTAACTTTGTCTCAGTCTGCTAGTGCTGTCTAAATTACACGTAGGGTACCTATATGTGCATGTAACAGGTGCTGCTGATCACACACACACAAACACACAGACATATGCGTGTGCACAAACACGTACTCTCACACATTCACATTTGGAGCGTAAACGAGGTCCACCTATGCCCGGTTTAGGGCTACACATTAAACAGACGTGCAAGAAGAAGTCGTCTCACACTTACTCCACTGTCCTGAGAGAAAAAAAGGGTGGTGTCTGGGGTCAGTCTGCTTAAGGGGAGCAGAAACTTCCACAGCAGGGTGCTACTAAAACTGCCTCAGTCCACCTTACTGAAACCTGTCCTCACCAATCTCCTTCAGAAGGTTTAATCCCACCCCCGGTTTGCCCCGCCCCTTCCTGACCCATCCAGTCCTTACATGTCCTTTTTGAATCCCTACTTGCCCCTTAATAGTGGAGTCAGACTTCATCTATCTGTTAGTGTCTGTGGGCGATGTGATCAGCAAAGCAGAATCGTATTCAACTGCAAACCAGCATCTATTGGTTGAAAATATGTTACTTGTAATATTGATGATTACTATTATTGTTGATATGGTGTCTTTTTTTTTTCTTTTTTTTACAATGCATACATGAATTTTTCATTAGAAAAAAAAATATTAATCCGCCAAGAATCAGTTTGAATTAAGTTTCCTTTTTTTTCTTTTTCATATTGTAGTGAAAGCCGATCCTGCTCCTCCTGTTATAACTTCAGGCAGCCACAGGGGGGCGCTCTAAACCAGCCTCTCATTCAACCTCACTGTTCAACTAACATCCTGATCTTCCTTCTCTTTGTCTTTCGCACTATTTTTTGATCGTTTTTCACTCTTTCAATTCCAGTTTTGTCAAATTAAAGATCGGCATTAGAGTCAAAGAGTGTAGCAAAAAATATTATTTACGTTTAGTACTATAGTACTGAGTGAGTCTTTTACTTTGTTTGGGTAGAACTTTGCTCCTCCCTTCTCTTCGTGAAACACAATGTAACCTCATGTTTGTGCTTCTTTTATTTTTCTTATTCAGAAATTTAAATAAGCTGATCTTTGTATTTTCCAAATTTCTCATATTCTGGTGGTAATAAATAGATGTCACACAATTTGGCTCTTCAGTGTCATTTATAAACACACCCAAACATGTCTGGACACATGGCTTAGTCCTTTGCTAATGTGTACACTAACTATTAAATGTTGCTTAAATTTTAAATTTTACTGATTGAAAAATATCCAATGTTGGATCATGCTGATTTTTAAAAACAAGTTCCAGCATTTAGAAGTGATAATTAGCCTACTTAACAAACTTAACAAATGTGTTATACTGTAGAGACACCCAATTTGTTTTCCTACCCCCTGGATTTTCCATGGTTATACTGTGTGGCAGCAAACAAAATATTTAGGATCATTCAACAACTTTTAACATTTCCAACAACTGTTAATTTAAAAACTGAAATTGTAAATGATTTATTGATGAACGACGAAGTGAATCTTTATTGTGAATTGCTCTTGGTGGAGCATAGCATCACAGTGTTTATAGTCTTCAGAGAAGTCAAAGCTTAACTGTATTGACGTTGTCTCTATGATTTTGTCACCGCAGAGGGAGCTGTTTCTTACCAGCGGAATTCATGACGCACAAGCAGCAAAAAGGCAGACTGGTAGGACACGCTTTCGAAAAGACAATCAAACTTATTTTACATACAGTACACCGTTTACATTCCAGTACCGTGGCATTGATTCAACAAGGTGCTAAAAGCATTCTTTAGAAATGTTGGCCCATATTGATAGGATAGCATCTTGAGGTTGATGGAGATTTGTGGGATGCACATCCAGTGCACGAAGCTCCCGTTCCACCACATCCCAAAGATGCTCTATTGGGTTGAGATCTGGCGACTGTGAGGGCCATTTTAGTACAGTCAACTCATTGTCATGTTCAAGAAACCAATTTGAAATGATTCGAGCTTTGTGACATGGTGCATTATCCTGCTGGAAGTAGCCATCAGAAGGTGGGTACATGGTGGACATAAAGGGATGGGCATGGTCAGAAACAATGCTCAGTTAGACCGTGGCATTTAAACCATGCCCAATTGGCACTAAGGGGCATAAAGTGTGCCAAGAAAACTTCCCTCACACCATTACACCACCACCAGCAGCCTGCACAGTGGTAACAGGGCTCATTCTCATTCTGTTTATGCCAAATTCTGACTCTATCATCTGAATAGGAGGGGGGTCTTTTGCTGTTGTAGCCCATCTGCCTCAAGACTGTGGCTTAAATTTTTGTGGCTTCACAAATGCTTTGCTGCATACCTCGGTTGTAACGAGTGGTTATTTCAGTCAAAGTTGCTCTTCTATCAGCTTGAATCGGTCGGCCCATTCTCCTCTGACCTCTAGCATCAACTCACAGGACTGCTGCATACTGGATGTTTTTCCCTTTTCACACCATTCTTTGTAAACCCCAGAAATGGTTGTGCGTGAAAATCCCAGTAACTGAGCAGATTGCGAAATACACCAAGAACCATGCCACTCTCAAAATTTCTTAAATCACTTTTCTTTCCCATTCTGACATCAGTTTGGAGTTCAGGAGATTGTCTTGACCAGGACCACACCCCTAAATGCATTGAAGCAACTGCCATGTGATTGGTTGATTAGATAATTTGCATCATTGAGAAATTAAACAGGTGTTCCTAATAATCCTTTAGGTGAGTGTATGGTTTACTTTAAACAAACAGAAAAATAACTGACTTTGATTTTTCTTACTTTCTGTCTGATCACTACACTCACCAGGTGTTTTTATACTGGAGCACTTAGTTAACTTCATCAGTAATTACATTAACAAATGCTTATCATTCAAAACCTATATTGCCCTTTAAAGGGGTTTCACTTTTAGCATTGCTATATAATATATTCACAGTAATAGAGTTACAGATCTCTCTCTCTCTCTCTCTCGCACTGTCTCTTTCTCTCTCTCTGTGTGTGTCCTGGAAAACCATACATTATGGAGACAACATGTCCATCAAAAAGATATCCGAAATCCTAGTCCTTAGGACATTTTTGGCCCCACGAGGAACACAGCTTATAAATTATACTAAGCAGTGTTTTAAAAATAAAAAAGAAATGCTGAAAGTGGTTAGGTTTAGGGGTAGGAGTAAGTGAAAGAATATACAGTTTGTACAGAATAAAAATCATTGTGTCTATGGAAAGTCCCCATAAAACATGAAAACTAAACGTGTGTGTGTGCCCTGGTAAACCCTACATTATGGAGACAGATTGTCCCCACAAATATGGCAATATCCGAAATCCTTTCTTTGTGAGGACATTTTTTGGTAATGTATTTCTACATAATTTTGTCTGGTTAACTATCTTTTGTGTCTACATAGCTGGTTTGTGGGTTCTGAGTAAGTGCTTGTGTGTTTGTATGTGTTGTGTGTGATTTGTTAGAATTGAAGGCTCAGCAGTTTCTCCTTTTGTCTTCTTGTATGAACTACAGACAATCTGTCACAGAGAGAGAGATTAATATCTGGAGGAACAGGGGGAGGGTTAGAGGAAATGAGAGCTGATAGATAGATAGATAGATAGATAGATAGATAGATAGATAGATAGATAGATAGATAGATAGATAGATAGATAGATAGATAGATAGATAGATAGATAGATAGATAGATAGATAGATAGATAGATAGATAGATAGATAGATAGATAGATAGATAGATAGATAGATAGATAAGAGAAGTTACACACACACACACACAAATGTTTTTATGAAGAAATTATGTTCACTGTGACGTGTACATAAAAAATTGCAAACACACACCCTTCATCCTGGTAACAGTGCATGTGGTTTTATTCAGGTCAGAGTGGGATTATGAAGCACTCAGGAGGGGGGCGCGGTGGAGGGTGAACAAGGGAGAGAGAGGGCATGAAAGATGGTACAGAGGAGAGAGATGCCTGTGAGTGTATTAACATCTTGTTCCTTACTTCATACAGGGATGTGTGAGAGACAAATAGGAAAAATAGGAATAAAACAGACTGGGAACATGGTGTAGAATAAGAAGTAATGAGAGTACAGATGGGGAAGAGAAGTCCGGCTAAACAGATCACACTAGTAAGTCCCTGTAGAAAGAACCATATGGGTTATTCAGAAAATATTTCAAACAGTACGTTTAAATTGACCCTGCTACTAAGTCAAATTGTTGTGAAAACTGAATGTGTGTGCGCTATTATTGTGTGCATCCATCATTTCAAACTGTGAACAATTGAGTGACTCAAACACAACTATTAAAAAAGTTTAAACATTCACTGATGCATCAGAAGGAAACACAATGCAGTAAAGGGATACTCCACTATTTTTGGAAGTATAGGCTTATTTTACCACTCCCCCAGAGTTGTACCGTTTTCAAATCCATTCAGCCAATTTTCTGATATTTAGAAGAATATCAGTAAACAGACAGTTTCTCTTCTCATTGACTTCCATAGTATATTTTTTTCCTACTATGGAAGTCAATGAGACCAGAAACTGTCTGGTTGCTGATATTCTTCTAAATATCAGAAAATCGGCTGAATGGATTTGAAAATGGTAACTCAACTGTTTAACTCTGGGGGAGTGGTAAAATAAGCCTATTTCAAAAAAAAAAAAAAAAGTGGAGTATCCCTTTAAGAGCTGGGGGTGAAAACTTTTTGAAAAAATTTTACTTAATTTGTCTTCTGGGAAACATGTAAGTATCTTCTGTTGCTTCTGAAGGGCAGTACTAAATTTTATATATATATATATATATATATATATATATATATATGTCAGATCTGAAACCAAACCATGTCCTGATTACAAATAAATTATTATAAACCTTTTCTCACTTGTTTATTTTTTACCTTTACTATGGCCAGTTTTACTTTTAAGCAACAGGTTGTCTTTTTTGTGAATGTATGAAATTCACACAGCTGTAGTTAATTACATTAAATCTCGGTATATTGGGCTAAATTATGACAACCAGAAATTTTCCAAATTATTTTTATTTTGTCATCTATTGTGAAAAATTTCACCTTTTCATGAAACTTACCTAAACTTTGTAAAAAAAAAAAAAAAAAATCCTGAAAAGTACAAATTAAAAAAAAAATAATTTCCAAATCCAGCAAAGATAAACCATTTTTGGTTTACCAAATCACTGAACCTTTAAGTGAGCACTTCTTTAATTTTTTTTTTTTTTTGTCAATGTGAAGAACATTCTGAACATCTAAAGAAGCTTTTGTTCAAAGGTTCCATTGATTTTAAAGATGGAACCATGGAATGCCAACTAAGAACCGTTTATTTTTAAGAGTGTATGTTTGTACAATTTCTTTAGTTAATTTGACATTTCTTTTAATAAAGCTAATGCAAAACAATTAATACATATATAGACTCTTAATTTTGAATCTAATTTGGGACTGAGATAAAGAATGATTGAATAATCACAGTGGAGAAGTCATAGCAGAGAGAGCTGGAACTGGAATCAACAGGAGGAGAGGTGTGGAGGAGGGAAAGAGAGAGGGAGGTTCAGTAATCCTGTTTAATTGCTTTAGGGTAGTGTTCTGTCGACAGTAAGGAGATTGAGGTGCTCTCTGGGTCATTGGCTAAAATAACCCCACACACCCGGCTTCATGGGCGGGGCCACACACACCACCATCACAGCAACACGATTACCAGACATCGCAACCTTGTGGACCCCAGACTGTGTATCCAACCCCAGGCTGTCACAGTATAAGATGGTGGAATTATGTGAATCTTTCCACTTTGTGTTTTTAAACCCAAAGCACTGAGCTTTGCAAGGGAAATTCATCTTCTTTCAGTTTAGTTGGTTAAAGGGATAGTTCACCAAAAAAAAAAAAAAAAAAAAAGAATGAATGAAAACTCCTGTCATTATTTACTCACCCTCAAGTTGTTCCAGACATGTGTGAATTTCTCTCTTCTGCTGAACACAAAAGAAGATATTTTGAAGAATAGGGTAAACAAACAGTTGACTTCCAGAGTGTGTTCTTTTGTGTTCAGCAGAAGAAAGAAATTTGAAGTTCATTACAATTTGATTTGCCAGTTCCCTTATTTTTGCTGATACCAGAAAATCCCTTATTAGAGGCATGAATGCATTCGTTTTAAGATTTTAGTACTTTGTTTTTAATTTATATTCATAAATGTTAGTCCATATATACATGTTCTGCTTGAGGGACAGATGTAGCCCAATTTATTCAAGTGCTCTTCAGACCAATTTGTAAGCCCCCCTTCTCTCACGAAAATCATTTATGCCATGTTTTTATTAATTGTACTTGATCTTGCATAATCAACAAGAAACAAAGGTAGACAACTCTTGTTTGACAATTCTTGTTAAACAAAGACACATTTAATTGTGAAGTTAAACTAAATGTAAAATTTAAAACCTTTAGTTCCCTTCTGAATGTATTCAGTCAAAGCAACATAACAACAACACCAACATTTTTCAACACAAGGTCACCCAAATAGAAAATATATATCAACAGCATGACTATACTGCCATTAAATGAAGTAACGATTAACTCAAACTAACAGAAAACAACATTATTTGTTATAAGTTAACATAATTTAAAAATACATAAATAACAGCAAGCTAAATGCACAACACAAGAACTCCTAATGCTTCCCAGTACAGAAGACAAACCAACCAAACTTCTGAAAAAAGTAGAAAGAACTTTGTCCAACAAAAAGCTTGTACCCGCAGAGAAACTCCCCTCCAATTATGTGCATGTCTTTGTGTGTGTGTGTATTAGTGAATAGCTAAATAGCCACGATGTGTTGAGAAAGCTAGTTGATTGTAGGTGTGAGGTAAATGGTTAATAATGAAGACTGATCAGTAGACTTGAGGAGTCCCTTCACTCTCAGCCAATCACAGAGCAGATCTGGACTACAGAGTCTTCACCTGTTCCAAAATGGCCCCCCTTTTCACCTCTGAGATCACATGAATCCTGCTGAATCAGACCTGTTTCATCATCAAAATGTCTCCAGCATTTCAAGCAATAGTTCTGTTTAATTTATTCTTCCTTCCCTCTTGCCTTTTTTTCTTCTCTTCCTCACTTTCTCTTTTACAGCACCTGGAATTTATGGTCGAGGCAATCCATAGTGCTGAAGTTGAGCTTCCAGGCCTGCTGGTCCTTGTAATCCAGGCAGTCTACGGAACTGAAACCCAGTGAGGAGGTGCTGTATCCTTGGGAGGAGAGGGAGGGTGACTGGCTGAGCGAGCCGCCCATGGAGGGCACAGTGAGGGGAGAGAGGGCGCCCCCACTCGCAGACAGCTGAGTGGTCATGGGAGAGAGGTACGGGCTGCAATCCAATCCACTGAAGTAAGGAGAGGAGCTGTAGCCCTGGCTATAGGTCGAGGGCTGACCGTAGCTCATGGGATAGGGAGCCGGGCGCTGCACGCAGGGCGTGCCGGAGCCACACAACGGATCGGGAAGGGGGGATAGAGAGGTGGGACTCCACACAGAAACGGGTGCTGTGCCTGCGCTGGCAATAGGGGGTACCGTCTGGGCAGGGGCAGCCACCACCGAGGAGCTCGTGCCAGGGTCAGAGGTCAGCTCTGAGGGTGGGGAGGACTTCTTTTTGGGGGGACGGGGCTTGGGCTGACCGCTGGTCTGCTGTTGCTGTTGGCGGCATTTAGCACGACGGTTCTTAAACCACACCTGAGAGAAATAAGAGCGGGGTTGAAGATGAAATAAGTGTTTGGCTCATTTCTCAATAGATCAAAAAGAATGTGTTTGTGATGGATGTGATGTGATCTGCATTAATATTGGGCCTCACACACACACTGACTTTCACTGTCAGAGTTGTGGTCACTTTCAATACTTGTTGTGACAGTTAACAAATTAAAATAGAATTTGAACAAAGTACTGTACATGTTTAGTTACAAATATACAGTTTACCCCCATTGCATCATAGATTAGATCATCAGAGTGTTAGATGAGCATCGTCTGCTATCTAGTGCATGTGCCTAGATAGATGTTTGAAAGATGCAGTCGGAGAGGTGTCAGAAAGATGTTTGTCTCAATGTTGAAGACTCACCTGAACTCTGGACTCGGGAAGGTTGATTTTCAGAGCTACCTCCTCTCTCATAAATATGTCTGGGTAGCGTGTTTTGGTGAACAGGGCTTCCAGAATGTCCAGTTGGGTGCGTGTGAATGTAGTGCGCTCCCGACGCTGCTTCCTCGGAGTGGCTATTATAAAAACATCGACATCATACAGTAAGAAACAACTTTAGGTTTTCCCAAAACATGTAGGCCTAGAGAAAACGGATTTTTTTTACATGGTAGCATCATCAATGTTAATAGTTTTATGTGAGCTTGTAAGAGTCATTAATATGATGTTGGTGAGAGAAAATATTTGGACTATCCATTGTCATCATTCATAGATAGATAGATAGATGGTTGTATTTTAGTATTTTTTTTTTTGTTTGTTTTTTAGCTACACTTAAGTCTAGTCAGTGACTGAGTTCTGTCCGTTAATGGCTGCGCATAAAAACATCGTTTCTGACGTCAGTATATTTTTTTAATTAGTGATTTAGGCCGATTAGGCTACATATTGATATTAGACTATTTAACCCATTTAGCCTTATTTGCATTCTTCACTAGCGTAGGGCCTACTATTGTGATGATTATTTTTATTTGTATAACGGATGGATAAAACGGACGAAATTGTGCTACATAAAAAAAAGCTTTTCATAATGGGCTAAAATAACATTTTAATAAACAAGCAAAAAAAAAAACACAACAACATAAAATTGAAATTTGACAGCGAAAAAAATACTTTTTTGTAAAGACGAAATTTAAATATATAGTAGGCTATTGACATCTATATGTAATTGTTTTTGGGCACTACTTTTGTTAGCCTACTACGTGAGTGAGTTCATTTAATATGGCTATCAACTGGTAAAATGATGTTCGCTTTGCCTAAATTATAGGGGTAGGCTACAATTATGTCAAATGAAACAGGAAATATGAGGCTACCTTTTAGTTTTGTTTGTCCCGTCTCTTTTGACTTCAACGACCAACAAAGTTATTAAACATAACATAAGAAACAAACATATTATAAATCATTAATGAGAAAGAACTGACCTGGGTAGCCGACGGCGGTGTGGAGCAGGTCCATTCCTGAGGCGGACAGTGTTAACCCGTTCGCAGCATAATGGGGCTGCTTTATGTAGGACATCATTCTTGGGACGGTCGCGTCTCTCGCACACACTCTCTATTGCTCTCTCTCTCTCTCCCTCCCTCTCTCACCCCTCTCTCTCACTCTCTTTTTTCTTATGTGACGCTTTTTTTTTACGGGTCGGGGGTCGCGCTCTGCTCCTGACAGCCGCGTGTCTTTGCTCGCGCCTGGCGCGTGCGGTGCTCCTTCAGTCTCACGGCTCCAAACACCTGTTTTCCCGGTCCTCAGTGCCTTAAACAAGCTTACACTCTCACAACTCTTGTCATTAATATCGTCCTGAATATCAAAGATGAGCGTAGCTAAATGTGAGGAAATAGTAAAAGTAAATTTTCTATTATAGGCTAGCTCAAACAAAAGTTTTAGACGCTTGGTATGAGTTTTGGCGTTGGTTAAGGCGCGTGTCCCCTGGGCAAGACCTGCCAGGAGCGGGACACTATGACAAATAAGAGACTGAGCAGCTAATCAAGGGGCATCTCTCTCTCTCTCTCTCTCTCTCTCTCTCTCTCTCTCTCTCTCTCTCTCTCTCTCTCTCTCTCTCTCTCTCTCTCTCTCTCTCTCTCTCACTCTCTATCCAACTTTGACGTGTAGTTTAACACGTGGTTGCCCATGACAGTAAAGAAATAGATTTAAAAAGGTTAAATCTTTCAAAACGATTAATATCCTAGCCTAAATAAAAACTCCGTAGTGATCCGAGCAAAACTGTCACGAGAGATGCCTCAAAATGCCACATTAAAAAGAAAATCGGTAAATATATTTTTAATAATAGGCCTATTCTAGATACAGTTGTTGATTTTAGGAACCGTATCAACCATTAATTAATTAATAATCCTCGCGACATTTTCCAGAAGTTCGAAAAATGCGCTCTCACTTAATGAAAAAATGGCCCTGAAACTCGTTTCTTTATAATAGTCTATATGACCAAAAAAAATCGGACACTGCCCACAAGCATTGAAAATAAATAAATTTCGTATAGCCTACCTATATGCCTTGTGCATGTTTGTTCGTAAAATAATTTAGATATAATTTAGATTACAATTTACTTCAAGAAATCGATTTTTTTATTTTTTATCTTATAAATTGTGTATGCCTAAGCTATTAACCATTATATTTGAATTAGCTGAGTGTTTTTCGTTTATTGGCATTATACTTTTGCTATCTAACAGGCTCTTAGATGCAACTGTAATTCTCATAAATAAGACTACTCTGAAATTTCATTCGTTAATCGAATGTTTTTTTTTTTTTGTAGGCTATGAGCAATAGGTTAAATATTTCTTGTGGACAGTGTTAACAGTTTTGCATTGCAACTTTATTTGCATCAGAATTTAGTTGCATATCTTTTCATTGATTGCAATTAACTGATTAAACGTTTATCATAATTTCTTGATTAAACACGAAACAACATAATATCACTAATATTTGATTGTATAATGTATAATATAATGATTTGTAAAGCATCTAAAATGAGTATTTACTCTTTACACTTCATTTTTGACTTGACACACACTGCTGAATTATGTGTATATGTGTTTTAGTCCCTTAACCCTAAGAGAGGAAAGAGATTTATTATCAGTTCACAAGAGAACAAACAATAGAATGCATGAAAATCACAGGACCCAAAAGGAAAAAGAGCTAAGGAATGTATGGGTAAATTATGAATTAAAACAAGATGAAGACAGAAGGACGAGTGTTATCTTGACCAGTGATGGAGGGACTGATAAAAGAAGAAAGGAGAACATTTGGAAGGATGCTGACTATTTGCTGTACTGAGCTGTTTAAAATTTTAAACAGAATATTTTCTATAGAAAGAACATGGTGTTTTATTTGAAAGAATTGTTTGGTTCAGTGTGTTAGTGACAGAGAGAAGGAGAGAGGTATGAGAAAGGTGTCAATTGGCACTCAAGATGAACTAAATGTGATAGGTTGGCTTTAAACAGGCAGAGCAGACAAGGTTATGTGGTTGTGACTAGGCTAGATGTCATCCCCTTTAAGTACTATGCAAAAGTCAAAGGACAAAGGGCAAAACAAGTCTTCAGATTAAGTATTTTGTTCTGAAGTAATTTGAAAACGAAATATGGAAAGTGGTTAAAATCTTAGAAATTCACATATTCATCTTTCATGTTTAAAACAAAACCTATCCCACCTCACCCACTTCTCAGCAATGGCCTTCAAAATAAACTAATATGATAATAATAATAATATATATTGTTACAATACAAATGAAATATGCAAGTAATACATTATTATTTGTTTGTCTGTTTATTTATGCAACAAACTAATAATCAGGCTACTTTTTTAAATTATTTTTTTAATTACTTTTTTTAAATTAATTTGTTATACTTTGCTCAGATTACCACATCAAACAACATTTCAGTGGTGGTTGTTTTTTGTGTAAAACCAGTAAAATTATGATGATGATGATGATGATGATGATGATGATGATGATGATGATGATGATTTGTTTTTCTGTGTCAGTATAGGATGTTTGTATGTTTATGTGTTCAGGATCTGAGCTTGTGCGCTTGCAGAAGGCAAAGTTTTGTGGAGCGTGTTGCAGAGGGGGGTGGGGGGACCAGTCCGTCCATCTGGCAACAACCGGCTATGCAGGCACAAGAGCAATTATGGAAGTGGACTAAACTCTAATCCACAGGCACACACACACACACACACACACACACACACAGTTCCAGAACACATTAGCATAAAAATACACAGCCGACACATTGACATTGCAACAAACATTTAATCTGGAGTGGAGAGTAACAGATGAAATAAACAAAATGTTCCTATACAAATAGAGGTAAAGGAAAGAAATATGTGAAGTTAGATTAGGGTGAAGAAGGGCGAGTGGGGTGACAGATAGATAGAAATAAAGAAAGAGAGAGAGGGGGGGAAAGGGAGGGAAGGAGCAAGAGAGAAAGAGAGAGAGAGAGAGAGAGAGAGAGAGAGAGAGAGAGGGGTAGTGGGCCGCATCATTGCAGGCACACTGCATCAGTTAATCCAGATTAGGCAGTCTAAAAAGGAGCGGCTTAATCTGCAGGCCAGCCAGTAATACACAGACCGCTGTCAGCACCAATCACTCACACAATTCTAATCCCTAAGAAACACACACGCTGGACACACACACACACACACACACACACACACACACACACACACACACACACACATCCACTCTCTAAACAGTGAGTTAAGCATGCATATAAAATATTCTGCACAATCAGTCAACAGATTCATTAGAAACTTTGAATATGTTCTGAATATATGTACAAAACATGGGGCTTTTCTTCTGGCTATAATCCCTCACAAACCAGTGACTGTAATCACTTTATAATACAGGTATTTAAAACAACTGGTGGCAATTTCTAATGCAGTGTATTGAGTGTAATGAGTGTAGATGTGTTTATTTGGATTTGGGAATATGTTGTGATGACGTAGTTATTTGCTGATAAGCACAATATGTCCCATGTGCATGGACAGACTTTGAGTCACTGTCAGATTAAAGGGGTTTTAATCTCAGTGGGGCTGTATGCTGAAAAGGGCCCCAATAACCAATTGACAGCTTGTCTGGCCCTCTAGTGGAGATTCTGCCCATTTATCACAAATCAATTAATTTCACGTCAAATAAGTTTTACTGATGATAGACAGAAGTATGAATGTGTATCTAATGTATATGAATTGTTAGAAGTCCGGGCTAAAAGAGCCGAAGCACAAAACAGAGAGCCGTAGGTTGGTTGCTTGCAACAATTAACTCAGGCTTTATTACTCTCTGACCACAGCCTGCATCGCTACTACATTATTTAGCTGAAACTATGTTTACAATCCCATTATTCACCTACCCCACTACGTCACACATATGCATTTTTTCCAACAAGCCGACAGGGGGAGGCAGAGATTGCAACACTACTCTCACTCTGGAGAACGATTAAACTTTTAACATATCTCCAGCATGATTACACTCTACACAGAAAAAAAAAAAAAAAAATATATATATATATAATATATATATATATATATATAATTAATTTTTTTTTTGGTTGAATCATGTTTTCATGTTGCATGTTTAATTTATTTTAAGACATATAATTATCTGGAGCAGTGCAGTAGCAGACCAATAGCTGAAGATCTAGAATAAGTTAAAATGGTTGGTTCAACTGATTTAATTGTCTTATTTTCATATATAAATGAGTTTAAATGTTAACTTAACAGAACAAAGATTTGTTTTGATCTCACATGGCCTGCAATGTGTTAGATTTACTTAAAATATATGCACCATTTGTGCATCATACTTTTTAAATAATCCCAACTTGGAATAATTTTACATAAAATAAACAAGAAAAACGTTGTTACAATATTTGAGTTCACCTAACATTCTTTACTTAAAAATATACACAAGTAAAGAATATTGCATGAACTCAAATATTTATAACAAAGGTTTTCTTGTTAATTCTAAGTTAAATTATTCCAAGTTGGGATTACTTTAAAAAAATGACTCAAAAATGGTGCATATATATTTTAAGTAAATCCAACACATCATTTTTTAGAGTGTATGATGAAAATTACAGACCTCTCTCATTAGTAGGAGAGTTTGCACAATCAGTGGCTGACTAAATTCTTTTTGGCCCCACTGGCCCCACCGAGCCAGTGATTCTTTTTCTTTTTTGAATTCTTTTTGGCCCCACCGATTACCAAAATTATTTGGTAAATGATGATGCATTAATTATAAATGAAGGGAATGACATTGTCAATAAATGTAATGAGTATTATGTAAATATTGGATATAAATTAGCAAATGAGATTGTGGAACAGCAAACTGGGGACAGGGTAGATTAACTAAATATTTCTAGCAATAAACGTTCAATATTTATCAGGGGAACTGATGAGATAGACATTGTTAATAATTGTAAGAATAAAAATTCTACTGATTGTAATGATATTGACATGAGGAATGTAAATGTTTTAAAAAGTAAGAGCAAGAACTAATACAAAAAATAGATGCATATCTGTTAAAGGAGTAAACCTATAGAACAATTGTGACAAGGAATTAAAATTGTGTAATTCACTCTGTAATTAAAAAAAAAAGTTTAAAAACAAGGTGATAAATAATTATAAAACTCAATATGATTAATTTGTCTACGTTATAGGCCTATGTTAACTATTGAAATGATGTCTGAGATCTGTACCTTTCATGTATGAACATCTTGGAAACTTGGAAATGTTCTGTAGGCTACGTCTATTTTGAAAGTTAAATCCAGAGAGAAAAGTGCTGCTAATTGAGTAATTATGTACAAAAGGTAATAAGCATAGGCTTCAGCTTAACACCTTTTTTGTTGTTGTTGTATGCAATGCATGTAGTCTCTTGTCTTGTATTGCTTCTAGTCTTGTATCTGTTTTTCATGGCAACGGTGCACTTAGCAGCGGTCTGTTATCAAGAAATAAAAGACCGCATTCTACATTAGAATTCAACCAAGCCATGTAATAATACTTTACTGTATTTTTTATTCGTCGACTACAGCCGATGACGATCGTCTCATTTGGTCAAGTGTGATTTGTCAAGCGGTTCGAAAAACACAGATGATTGGTTAAATTTATTCACAACCCGCCCATACCCGGAAGTTGTTGTTTTTTTTGTCACTAGTGTGGCAGTCCAGTAAGATCTATTCGAGAGGAGTTGTTTTATTTAATTTGTGATCATCTGTAAGATGTTGCCGGATGTAAAAGGCCTGTGTCCATTTGTGGAAGACAGTTTTAGTCGCTTTCCCTCGCAGAGTAACATATACGGACTATGCCAGGCAGGCGAGCAGGAGTTACTGGCAGCGACTCTGAAGGGGAAAGTAGTGTGTTTCAGATACCAGGACCTGCAGAAGAAGATCAGACCTGTGGCCAGAGAGATTCAGTTCACATATATACCAGGTCACAACCTATTCGTTTGCTTTGAAAGTCTTTTGTCTTAGCTTGCTGTCTAATGCAAAAATATTTCTTGTTTTGTTAATAAAGTTGATGCAGAAATCGTCTCCATTGACGCCTTCAACAAATCTGCCCCTAAAAGAGGACTGGTCGTAGGAATAACCTTCATTAAGGTGTGCTTCATCACTACAAATAACTAGTTTCAAACTAGATGGAAAGATTTCCCTCGCTCACTCTTTCTCCATCCATGAGAGCTGCCTTTTTTGCTGCATTTTCTGCTTCATGCATTTATTTTGATCTCTTTCCTCTCAGGACTCAGGAGATAAAGCGACTCCTTTCCTTAATATTTACTGTGATTATGAACCAGGGTCAGAGTTTAACTTGGAGTCTATTGCACGTGAGTCTGTCATATGGCATATTGGGGAATTTTTTTTTTTTTTTAAATTTCTGGTTCCTTGAGACAAGGGAGAATTCACACATCATATGCCCTAAATTATACTATATGCTACATATTTTAATCTGACTGAAACTGGTCCATACCGAATAATCAGACAGTTTCATCTGGTTGACAGAAAGCTGTCTGAACCTGGAGCTCCAGTTCACTCCCTTCCAGCTCTATCATACAGAGTGAGTGTTTCACTGTGTTGTTCATTTATGGTACAATGAAAGGAACTAGCAAGGTTTTTATGTAGTCTTTTTTTATTTAAATATATGAAATGCAGTGTTGTTTTGGTATTAGAAATATAACAAATATTTAGGGTTCAGAAGTAGGCTTACACATGTTTGTTTTGCAGGGTGCATTGTGTAGATGGATCCAGTGAGACTGTCTTTCTCCTCAGTGGGAATGATCAGCACATACATCTTTACAAAGAGGTCAGCCTAGCTGATAAATTTAGTTAGAATAAGATTTCTCTCTCTCTCTCTCTCTCTCTCTCTCTCTCTCTCTCTCTCTCTCTCTCTTCTCTCTCTCTCTCTCTCTCTCTCTCTCTCTCTCTCTCTCTCTCTCTCTTCTCTCTCTCTCTCTCTCTCTCTCTCTCTCTCTCTCTCTCTCTCACTTACTCACTCACTCACTCACTCATACTCAAGATTTGAAATTCATCCTCTTTGTCTGATTGTTAGAATGCCTCTTTGCACCAGTTTGAGGAACAGCCAGTGGAAAGACTCTTTCCTGAACTGCAGGAGCTGCCAAGCAAGTGAGTAGTTTACTTTTCTGCAGTTCAGGTTTGGATGATGAGATGTGCCATTATGTGAGATGTTTGATGGTAATTATTAATATGTACTTCGTGTGCATTGCAGTGTATTATGGTTAGATGTCTTAAGTATTGATCAAAACCTGCGTCTCACTGCATTTGGATGTCAGAATGGTTCTGTGGGACTTTCTCTTGTCAACCAAAAGGGACCTGGTGAGAAACACACTTGCACGGTTTTTCTCTTCTCTTTTTAGAATGTAATATAGTCTAATAATAAAGGATCTGGTTTTCTATGCACATTTGCCTTATTAGAGATTCTGCAGAACTGGCGTATTCAACATGACAGTCCCATTTCCACTGTGTTGCTGTTCCATTTGAAAGAGCAGCACCAGAACACAGAGATGAACAGTGAGTGACACAGCTCATATGATCACCAGTTGATGTATAAAATAACTCTTTTCTGTTTGAATATATTAAAATATATATTTTAATTCTGTCATGGCAAAGCTGAATTTTTAGCATTATTACTCCTGTCTTCAGTGTCAGTGTCATCCTTCAGAAGTCATTCTAATATGCTGATTTGCTGCTAAAGAAACATTTCTTATTATTATCAATGTTGAAAACAGCTGTGCTGCTTAATATTTCTCTGGAAACTATAACTGATGCAATTTTTTTTCAGGATTCTTGGATAAATAGAAAAAAAGCATTTATTTCAAATAGATTTTTAATGACTAGATTAATCATTACTCCTTATGCAAGGTTATTAATGTCTGATAAGTTATTTAGAGTAGACCAGTGATCCCCAACCGGAAATACGTGAGCAGGTTCCAAGGGTGCGTGAAGATATTTAGATTTTGCTTGGTTTGTCAAGCATGCCAGGAACGCCATGATTTGTCAAGCGACGAAAACTACGTTTACACTCCCATAATTCCGCCTGGCGCATTAGTCGCTGCAAATGTGTCCAAATTCAACTTGATTTTACAGCGTTGAGTATTGTAGCCAATCATGTGCATGTCTTTTGAAAGTAAAGGCAAATCAGAGGTGTTTAGTGCCAGTTTATGTCCTACATGCTCACAAACCTAATTATCACAAACAAAGCATGTTAATTTAAGTTAGAGATGTATTGTGGAAGATTAAATTATTCAAATTTGAGTTTCAGTGAGTTTGCGCTGACCTGACTGACCACTTATAAAGGGAGTGGCTCACTTTCTGTGTAATTCATTCGCAATTTGAAGATAAGTTATTCTCTTTTCAAAAATGTTTTTTTTATGTTGTGGTTTTATAATGTCTTAATATAAATTAAAAAGTAGAACATGTGAAAAACTATTTTAGGGAGTGTAAATGGCTAACATGAGCCAATAAGTGCCCCTCTACCACCATCTACTGGTTATAGTGGTAATTTCATGTCTTTTTAATTTTTAAATATAAGATTTAAAGGTTTTGTTTTCCATCAAATGTTGGATTTAAAAATATTAAAATTTAAAATGTGTTTTTTTTTCTAGTCTTTATTTACTCACAACATTTATTCTTTAGTTTAGTTTTGATGAAGGGTTACTTGAGCCTTATTGATGTGGGTTGTGAGGGCTAAAAAGTTTGGGAGCCACTGCTCTTGAGACTATTGTTATTAATCCCTCTTTATCTGTCTTTCCCCCCCACAGGTAGTCAAAAGGAAACATTTAATCTGTTGGTAACCAGTGCGATAGAGATGGCGGTTGTTTACAGGTTAGAGCCTCTTAAGTATGTTGCTTGTTGTTCACCATTGTGTCTGGTTGGGTGTAAAATAATTGTGTGCGTTCAGGGATGTAGAGCAGTGTGGACTGAGCAGACAGCTGTGTTTGGCAGAAAGCGACCAGTGTGATGCGGTTCTCTGTGCTCTCGTCGTTGATCTGGACTTTGATGGACAGCATGAGTTGCTACTGGGAACGTATGGACAGGTAGAGTGCTGGATTCAAAATGCTTACGCATAATAGGGAACAAGTGTATGCCACAATGAAAGAGTTCATAACACTTGTGAAATATAATCAGCTAACCAGTATGCACAATGATGTATTTGTTTTCTATAGGACCTGCTCTGCTACAAATTTCCCCAAACAACAGGAGCTTTTGAGGAGAAGTTACAGCTGCTGTGGAGACGGAGTTTTAAAAGCCCTCTACTGTCACTGATTTATCTTGACCTGGCTGGAGACGGACTAAGAGAGTTAGCTGTTCTCACCTTAAAAGGCCTACATATACTTCAGGTGAATATCACTGAGCTGTATATTATTATTATTATTATTGATTACTGATGTTTTTAGTTAATTAAGCTTCTGTGTCTCCCCACCCCACAACAACAGCACAGTCTGAAAACAACAGCAGATCTTGTTCTTCACCGTTTGTCCACTTTAGTATCAAGACTGCCTGGTTCTTCAAAAGAACAGCCGATCAAAAACCAAGATACTGAAGAGCAGTCCATTTCAATCAGCAATGAACAGAGAGATGCAGCCACTCATCACTGACTTTTATGTAAAATATATTTATTTTTATTTCAAGTGGTTAAGGAAGAGCTAAATGTTTGTGAATGAAGCCATGTCATATAGCAGGCAGGTCTTCAACACTAAAATGAAAATTACTTTTTTGCTGCTGGTACCAGTTGCCAGACTTATTTAATCTTCCTTCCTAGTGGCCACAAGTAGTTATTGATGAATTTCGGATGGGACATGGTGTGTCTTTTTTTTTTTTTAAATTTACATCATAACCTGGCAAAACCATTATTTCATACATTGCTGTTGCTAGTCAGCAGCAGGTTGTATTAGACTCAAGGTACATTCACATTTTATCTGTCTTAGTTTCAATCAATTTTTGAAAAGTTGTCAATATTTTTGGTCCATTTTTAATCTGCTAAAAGAATTTCTAAACCCAGGCTTTGGTTTAATTTCAACGTTCTTCAGGCAAGATTGGTGTTTTTCCATATCCCCAGTAGAGGGCACTCTTAGTCGGTTAACGACAACAACACTGTGCCATAGATCTGTGGTCTTTATATATATATATATATATATATAAATGTTGCGTAGAAACCCTTAACCCCCACATTTCAAAAAAAAAGTTTTGTGCACACTATTTCCTAATTTAAGATTTTTGTTTTGCATTGCCATCTCTGCCGATTTCATAATTATGGAAATTATGTCATAAATGTTGATGGTTTTGAAAACATATTTTTTTGACAATAAATGACATTTTTTTGAAAGGGTACGTCTATTTTGTCTCGGCGGAGCTGAGATGAGAACAATCGGAACACTGCTTACCAGGCGCGTCGTTAGACATGGGCATTCGGGGCTTCAGTCCCAGATGTTTTTTTTTATAGCCCCGGATCTAAAAAAAAAAAAATTTAAAAAAATATTGATCATTATTATTACATTTTAATAATTTTGTATTTATTTAAAAAAAATTACCCGGTATTTTAATCTATCCTTCGGAGTAATGTATTAAAGACGATTAAAATTTTCAAGCAGATCAAATTTACTATGGTTACTATGGTTACACTGCACGCTTGAGTTTAGATTGTGAGGTTAGATTGATTAGAGTTGAGAGAGTGCCTGAAAGAGCAATCGGTTAACTTACAGCTTTTGGGCTTGACTGTCATTGTTTGTGGCTTCATTAGACACTTTTTAAAAAGGAAAATAAGGAGTCATGAACGATACGAGGCCGATGAGAGGCAAGAAGAGTTATCTAATTTACTGGCGCCGTTCCCTCATCAAAGCTCAGGTCGGTGAAGGCTCTTCAACAAAGCCTGGTCGTCTAATTTAACGTTACTTAAGTTAGCCCTGTAAGTTACTCATTGTGGTTTTAATGCAGAACATGTAAAGTACGTGGGACCTTACTATTTCGCCTAACAAGCTAATCCATTTTGTGAGTCATCATAATCCGTTTCTCGTGAAGAATGTTGATGAAGTAGCCTAACTTATTCATCTGATTTGGCTAAGATAAGATTGGATAAGATAGGATTTTTCCCAATTGGTATTATCGAAGAAAATACTAATTATCTTAAAGGGACTCTGTGTAGATTTTTAGGTATTTTATTATCTGAAATCAATATTTTTATTCATAAATATGTCCTCAATGGTGTACAAATACCTCTGCAAATTATCTGACTTATCCTCGTAAATGAAGAATTTATTATCTTTATGTACATGGGACGGGTAGGTTCACGGAGGCTTCCATGTCCGTTCCGCCATCTTGAAAACTATAATAGCAGAGAGGGTCAAAAAGTACCACCAGCCAAACGCGTTTCCACAACGCGTTTTCGTTCAGACTCAGAGCCATCGTCACGTCACATTGAGAGGCGCATTCCCTGCAAGTTTAAACGGCTGCATTGCACTCCTATGATTGCTGATTGCTCTTTTGCTCTATTATTTGTTGCGGACCATATGCCGAGTCACAGGAGAATGCATCCTCATCGCAAAAAAAGGCCAGACTTGAACGAAAAAGGAAACGTGACCGGAGATTGCAAAAAAACACGGCCATTAATTTTTCCGTCATAAAATTAATCAGATATGGTTCGATTTTCTGCGTTTTTCGCATCCAGAGCCAGCATTTTGAGAGGTCTTTTGACAATTCAGGGCCGGGGGAGCTCGTCCTCAAATCATTGAACATTATGCGCCGTGCTTTCAGTTTCGGTTTTCAATACGATCAAGTGTTTATGTTCTCTTCTCTATAGCTATTGGATTATGAAATTAATAAACCTCCCCTTTCAATCAGATTGAAATTTAGGATCGAATAAGGTGTGATTGAGCAGCCTATTCGATAACTAATGTATTATTTGGGCACAATATACACAATACATACACAATAACAGCCTAGCTGTTTCTGTCTGCCCAGCGCTTCACAGGGCCGCGCGCGGGTGTGTGTGTGTTTGTGTGTGTCCATACCTGGTCCATACCAGACACACTGCCAGTCTCCGTTCAGAATCGATGGTTCACGGAATTGGTGGTCTTGTTTTTAATATGTGGCTCCAGAATCGCTAGCAAAGCATCAAACTGTCCCGCTGACATTCTGAGGTAAATTTTGAATCGCTCAGGATAAATCCTCTCGGCGCAATTTCAGGATTGGATGGATATTTTCTATTTCTTCTCTTTTCAATATGAGAGAGGGCAAAAATCATCCTCACTGCTTGACGAATCCATTTGGTATTTTTGCGTTTTTTCCCGCAAAGGTTTAATAAATACGCAACGGACTCGGTGTGCAAGGTTTCTATGCGTGACGAATTTTTAGGCTGACGTACAGGAAAATACGCATACGAATATTTCGTGCTCAGTGTGCAATGGCCTTAAATATCGGGATAGCGTTTTCAACCGTGGAAATAGCTAATGCAGCAGAAAGATTTCAGAAGAGACGCTGAAGTTGCCTGCTTTCTCCTCGACAGGTTAGTCAATGTTACAGTCTGACTTAATTTTTTTGTCATTGCTTGGTTGTGTACTTTATTATATAGACAGTATAACATTTATAGGTAAAAAAGTTAAACAAGGTCTTTACTCGCAGCTATTGTGAAGGAAGGTGCTAAAAACAAGGTTTGTAAGTTAATTCTTTATAACCTATAAATTCAGTAAGAATATAGAGATAATGATTGTAAGAAAATATTGCTCTCTGTAAGATTTTCTATAGCTTTCTTTTTATATATAAATGATCAATTAGCTAAAATTGTGATTTTGCTATGTGGATAAGATTGTACAGAGAATTAAAATTAATTTATACAGCTAGACACATAAATTGTACACATAAGTTAACACATAAGTTGCTGTTTTTTTTTTTTTAAGTTACAAACCTGTTCACCCGGAGAAAAACTCGATGAAGTGATACTACAAGACATCCTGTCATAGCATTTTTGGTACATAACGGCAACCGTAGATGCAATACGCACTTGAAAATGCGAGGCGCTGGAGAGCAAAATTCGTTTGGATGCAAAATAATATTTAACCACTAGATGGGGGTATTTCCTACACAGAGTCCCTTTAAGGAATCCTATCTTGCTTCCTCCTATCCAGAGCCGGCCCGAGCCTTTTGGGGGCTCTAAGCAGAATGGGCTATATGCACGCATAAGTTCCGCATTTGACGTAAGGATGCTCGTCCATTTCCGGTTGTGTAGATTAAAGTGGAGGAAAACCGGAGAAAACGGGATTATGGCAGAGTCTTCAATATTTACTGTCCTCCCGTCTTTGAAACGAAACGTATACGTTTAGATGTAATTTTATATATAGTTATGTTTATTTAATATAATTTTAAAAAAGAAGCATAAACACAACAAGGGGTGTCTGTTTTATCTGTTTTTGTGACTAACGTTTCATTAGTATAACCATGGAGTATAAAATTCAATATAAATTCTCGGTATTGCATTGGACTCTATGATCGGCGGAAGTTATCGAGCATCCTTAATCCTTCACCGGAAATAACGCCGTGCATAGAGCCCATTTGATTTGGGGGCCCCTCCCACGACGCGGAGTCACCTGTGTTTGACGATTATTGACACAAATGTCACGCAATAATGATACATTATAAATGAATACACTTGGGTTAGCCTATGTATTGGCTACAACAAAATTAATACTTAATAAAAAGAAAATAGATGCCTACTTAAATAAAAAAAGTTTTAACAGTCTTAAAACTGTCTCAAAACATATAAAAGAAATTATTTGCTAAAATTATGACAAAACTGAGAAACACAACAACAAGCCTATTGTTGAAAATTACAAATATTTGGCCTACTATTTCTCAACTGTCTCAATACAGTGTAACGGTCCTCAAAAGTTTTATTATTATTATTATTATCGTAAGAGACTTTGTTAGATATTACATGACATAATCCAATAAAGTCTGTTACTATAATACCGGTAATGATGTTCTGGCGCTCGTTGTATGCAATGTGTTTTTCCCCTCGGGGCTTGCCGTAGATGGGTCGTGCGCAGGCTGCGCACTTGGTAGGCTACTGGAGTGTTGCGGGTTTTTGGAGGTCTGATGTGTGGTATAATAAAGTGGAGAAGAGTTCAAACTGCTATGTTTATTATTTATTCAAACTGCTACCCTTACACCTTGAAGGTTAAGTTCCCCTGCGGGCTGTTTTCTCCAATACCGATACCGTGATTAAGCGCAGTTGCGCAAAAATTGTCTATGCACGCGCGAGGTGGATCTAGAGGATTATGCGCATGACTTAAACGCAGGCAGACACAGCAACATTTGTAACTTTGAGGCAGGTATATTGATAATTAAATCAGGGTTTTGTTGTCTTGAATGATTCATTCAGTCATTTTCATTCAGTCATTTTCATTCATTCATTGATTTATGTCATTTAAGTAGCCTAATCTAAAAAAAATAAAAATAAAAAATAACCCCGAAAGCGGCCGCTTAGTCGAGAAGTTCGCTTATGCCTCGGGCCGGCTCTGAACTCAACAGACTCAGTGGCTCAGTTGATAAACCATTGGGCTTTAATCAAGAAGACCTACTTTAATTCCCATTCTTTTCTTACGTTAAATTGTTGTGATTATATCAAACAAAGTGGCCAAAACAACATTTCTTCAACCCGGTATCACGACAAGACGTGAAATAATAACGTTGATCCAATTTGGAAAACGTGTAGATGTCACGGTTTAGTTTAAACTCAGAACCATAAATAGGGCTATACTGCCTTCTTGTGTCAAATTAGCCTATATTTCTATATTTATTTTTCCAACAAATAAAACCAAACCCGCAATAAAACACCGTCCATACACCCTTGAACTCAACAGATTCAGTGGCTCGGTTGATAAAGTGTTGGGCTTAAATCAAGAAGACTTGAGTTCAATTGCCATACTTGCGTTAATTTGTTGTGATTATATCAAACAAAACTGGCCTGAACAATATTTCTTCAACCCGGTATCGTGACAAGACGTGAAATAATCACTTTGGTGCACTTTTGAAAACGCTCAGATGTCACGGTTTAAACCCCCTCAAACGTGAAACTTACACTTAAACTGAAACTTACCTATTGGTTTTCATTAAACTGAGAAAAATGGAATTTTGTTTTATTGACGATCACTGAGAAATGGTCTAATATTTGAAATGCAAATTTTTTTTTATTATTTTCAAGGTGAACAGGATTCATTTGCCTCGATCCACGCTGAAAAAAACGTCTAAATGACACATTATTTAAAATGCAAAAAAAAAAAAAAAAAAAAAAAACATTTATTATTTTCAAGGTGAAAATGATTCATTTGCATGGATCCACGCCGAAGAAAACGTCTAAATTTCAAATGGCACTTAGAGGCTTTTGCATCTGAACTCTT